AGTCATCTGTTACCTTCCTCTGCAGTATACCAAGGTGATCCTGGCATTTTAATGTAATTTATTATAAGCCATTTTTTTTTGGTCCATGTTTAAACCCAGTCAGCTAAACAAACTGTCAGAACCCTTTCCAACACCCCAAATTTACATCCAGAATTTATTCTTAGTGGGGCAATATCAATCAATTTGACCTAGTCCAAATTTTTGTGCCTTCCAACATTATCTAACATCATGAATATCCATTCCACACATAGTCCCCAGAATTTTGTCTGTATAAATTGAAAAAATATACAATGATTTTGGAGTGGAACACACCTTTAATGGGTTAAACTTTGTATCTCACCTTTTTTCACCTGTTGCCACTTGAGTCTACTTATACCTATAAAAGGAAAGAGGATTGGTGGGGTTGGATCCTCAGGAGAATCAACATTGTCTTTAGGACAACCACCTCAGCAAAGGCCATCACTCTACTACCAAAGAAGACTCAGCAGAACTTAGGGGTTCACTGAGCCCAGCTTCATCACAGACTTCATATATGTCTTCATTCCAATATTCAGGGTCCCGTTTTTCCCAATGTCTGTGTTTAACAGAAGAAACTTTGCTAGGCTGGGGGTTTAATTTGTGATGTAATTCAGTGACTAGCAGGATGAGACTCTGGGCTTACTGTTCAGAAATCTCAGGCTTGTGACTATAGGAGATAAAGGTATAATCTAAGACAGGCATAGGCATTTTGGGGTCATATATGAAGGTCGTAGGCTAGAAATTTGAAATCCTAGGCTCACCCTTTTTCTCTCTACTTTCTATAGCATGGTTAAGAGCAAAGAGCCAATCTTATTGCACTCATTATTTGACAGAACTGTTCTAAGTTATCAAATACTTGGTCACTGAGAACCTTGCCTTATCAGTACTTGAGTAGTAGTGTTCAGTGGTGATATTGTGTGTATCCGTATTGCCTTTTTGTGCCATGGTCTACCAGTGTTCTTGTTAATACTGGAAATAGAGTCTTCACTGCCTTTACATTTAACTAGATTACAGAATCAATTCCTGAAACCTCAAAACTAATTCAAAAAACTCATTCTTAGAATTCAGTTCCTTCAAAACCACTGTTGGTAACCAAATCTATATCAGTCATGGTTCTACAGAAAAATGGAAGCACTATGTATGTGGCTAATGTGACTGGGGGTCAGCAAGTCTGAAATCTACATCAGCCCAGCAGACTGGAAACTCTCATGCAGAAGCTGCTGATGCAGTCTGGATGCAGAATTTCTTCTTCAGAGCAAACTCAAGCTTGCTTCTGAGGCCTTTCAACTTATTAGATGAGATCCACCCACATTATTGAGAATAGTCTCCATTATTTAAAGTGAGTTGATTATATATATAATCTGCAAAGAAACTTCACAGCACCACCTAGATTAGTGTTTGATTAAATGACCTGACTCTGTAGCACCTAAAGCTCGCCACCACAAATATCAATCACTTATTTGACTCACAGGTCTACAATGTGGCTGTGGCAGCTCTGTCCTGGGCAAGGATGTAAGGGTAGTTGGGCTGCACCTTGCATTCTGTGGGTCATATAAGATGTTTGGCTCTGTGTGTGTCATTTTAAGGCCAGACCAACAGGGCAGCAGCTTCTTGAGGAAACTGTTCTCATGCAATTGCAGAAATGCTAAAGGGCACGGGAAACATGTGAGGTCTGCAGAGAAACTAGCATATGGTCATTTCTCTCCACCCATCACTGGGGTAGACATAAGTACTTTTGATAATAAGTGCAGTCTATATGATGAAAGGCAAAATAAACTATGCTCTAATGGATAAAGTTGTTTCCCACAGGCCTGTGGGTTAGCATTTCTTATGACTATACATGTATACTGGGATTGCACAGCTGAGCACATGAATGGTTGGTTATTGGAAACTAGGTTTCTCACTGTCAGAGACTTAAGAAATATTTAATTGATTGTATGACACGTTCAGTTTCTACTGAAAATGACCAATCTATTTCCTTTCACAGCCAATAGTAATAATTTATCAGTGACAACATGGTGACACCTCTTAGCCTATTCTACCATTTACCTAAACAAGCATTCATCAATCTTGTACAGTAAAAGTTTACAGATAAGTGAAGAAAGAAGACTAGAATAGCACATGTGGTTGCTATTAGAGGTGGAGCATCACTAATAACTGTTGTCCAGCTTGATATAGATGCAGGTGGTTATATAGGGACATGTCTATCGATATGTGCATGCTAACGTGGGTTAGTATACACACAGATATTTCTTTGCTCTGTCAGAAGAGAGGTCCTAATAGAAATGATTGGCTCAATCAATAAAGGGTGGAAAACAACTCTGTCTCCTGTGCAGAGTAATCTCAAATAATTTATGTAGATAGGTCAGCCTCAGGAATGGGAAGCATAACCTCCAATTTCTTAGGTGTGAGGTACTCATAGTAACCTCTCCAACCGGTATTGTGTGGAGAGAAGAGGAAAAAAGAACTTTACAATGGAAAAAGCTGACAAACACTATGTCAGCGGGATGATAAGGTTAGCAAGCACTCGAGTGTTAAGTCGTATTGCTCACACGTATCCTTGATTGAATGGGATGAAAATGGCACTTTACTTCTGAGATCTTCCCCCTCCAAAACCACATTACCACACCATAATAACTACAAAGAACATCAGAATAATCCCAATGGAAGAATATCTTACAAATTCCTGACCAACATGCCTCAACACTGCCAACGTCTTTAAAAATAAGCAAAGTCTAAGAAACAGTCACAACCAAGAGGAGCCTAAGGAGAAAAGAGGACTAAATGTAATGAGGTGCCTTGGAAGCGATCCTAGAACTGAAAACAGACAATAGGAAAAACAAGGAAAAAACAGATGAAGTTTAGACTTTAGACAGTAATAATGTATCAATAACAGTTCATTAATTGTAATCAATGTGACAAACTAATATAAGAATCTAACAGTAGAGAAAAATGGAAGTGGAGGACTGTCAGAAGAAAAAATACAACAATTGCAGTGAAATGATTGGATTGGCTTTTATTGTGATTCATGAATCAGGGCAGTATCTCCTTTAAACCTTCAGACAAGATGTTCTGATGAGCTGAGCCCTGGAGGTGGGATTTATATGCAGAAAAGGGCTGAAGAAAGCAGAATAAAAGCCAAAACATAGATTATTCATTACAAAGTTGCTTTCCTTTTAGGGTTAAAGCAGAGGGGACTTCTTTTAATGCCAGCTAAAATTGGCCTGTTTGGCTATTTGGCTATTATTCCCTCTTCCAATGTTTTAGAAAAGTCGAACATCTTGCTTTCAGTTTGGTGATGTGAAGCTTAGGATGAGTAGCTTCATTTTTGATTTAGTCTAGTAGAACCTAAGGTAGGGACTCAATCCAAATCGGTTATCTCCTACACATTTTATCTAACAGTATGTATATATATACTTATATAACTGTGCTTATGTATTAATTATTTTTCTGAACAAACAACTGATATTATTACCTACTGTTTTGATGAAAAAGAATAGAAGATTAGAATTAAAAAAAAAAGGAAGATTTGCTAAATTGGTAGAAGGTACAGATACAGCACCTGCTCAAATGTGTCATATTATGAAATAATTAAAATTTTAAAATTTATGCATTAAAATTAAATTCAGCATATAAAACAAACATGAGGTTATATTTAGATGGTTGAGTATCCTCATGTCTATTTCTCCAGTTGGTTTTTAGTAGCAAGAAGTTGATTCCAGATGTCTCCTGTTTTTATATAATCAATACATATCAAAATTTTCCTTCTTTTGTAGTAAAAGAATAACTTTACATCAGAGTTAGAGACAAGAAAATATTTACAGGTTCTTCAAATAAAATGTTTAAGAGCAATTTTAAAAAATAATTGTTAGTAATAAAAATTTCATTAATACTAATGAGGCTCACAATCCACAAGATTTATCTAGGGGAAATATTTAATAGATTATATGATGTGTTTGGTTAATACTGATGATGGCTAATCTCTTTCTTTCAAAGTCAATAGTAGTAATCCATCAGTTCAGTGACAGCATGGTGATACCTCCTACTCTGTTTTACCACACTTACCTGATAAAGCATTAATCAATCTTGTATAATTAAAAAGAAATGCCAAAGAAGGATATAATAGTTTACTCTTCCAAAGGCTTAGAGGCGGAGTAATTTTGAGGAGTATAGAGTCTTCTATTTTGGAATTAACCATTCACCTTACTTTGATGTCTCATTTACTTATCCATTATATTTCGGCTCTGCATTGCTTTGTTTTATAGTGTCTGGGTGTCAACTTTCCGTGACAAATCTTAGTTTTGTTAGGGGTATCAAGTAATGAAAACAAAACACTCCAGAATAATTTTACAAAAACATTTATATGTATTTCAACCTACATTCATCATTTAGATATTATAATGACCATAGATGAATCTATTTTAGATATTTTATACATTGATTTTTCTTATTATTCACTCTGACAAATAGCTTGCTTCCTTACATCGTAGTGTGAATAAAATTTAAGTTCCAGAGAGAATTATTCATGCATGTAGCTTTTTAATTAAAAAGAGAATGATTAGTCAACCTTTTTCATGAGATAACCATATGAAGGCAATCTTTAATTGCTCTTTTTGAAGTTTCTTTCTCAATTGCAAACTCAGGTTTCACAATGCATGTTGGGAATGAGCAAGAAGAGATTGATCTGCTGGTACATGGAGTCTGAACGCCTGCTGGCAGGATGGAGAGGTGCCTGGAAATGCACACTCTTCATCACACTGAATGATGGCAGGATATTTATACTTCCTAAAAGCTGGGGATTAAGACTTTTTTCATCTCTTCATTTTCCTCTCTTCAGTATACCCTGGAGCTCTTGTTTCTTACAGGTGGTTGTAAACACAGTTTTCCCACAAGTTCTGCTTCACGATTTCCTCCACTATGTTAGTGTTCTCTCTTACATGCCATGCTGTGCCTAATCGCTTACTATTTCTGTGTCTTTTCAGACGACATCCTTTGTGGTGCCATAGCACATGGATTTCAGAACCGCCTGTGAGGAGGTGAGTACAGAGCTTTCTGCTTTTCAAACAGGAAAAACAGAATATAAGCAGGAAACACTTGGCTCCAATTTATATAGGGGAAACTCTGCTTTTGGCAGAAGATGGAGAGAGGGGTATGCGCTCTTTTTCTTTCCAGATTATGTTCTCCTTCTGCAAAGATAGAAAACCTAACTGTGCATGGAAAGCCTCGGACTTTAACTCTTTCTTTAGGAAGACTGGAGCATATTAAATATAATTGAGTTGGTCCTCTCCACCAACTCTGCACTTTTCAGGTAGTGGAAGTGTTGGAAAGAATTCTTTTCACATAAATGGTAATAAATTAGAAGACATCTAAGGTTCCTTTCAGCCCTATAATTCTATTATTTTATGATTCTGATATTATTTAAGTAATTCGATATTATTTAAGTATTAATACACAGCAATTTAGATTCTCTGTAGAGCTGTCATCACATTTCAGCATGAGTTAAAGTGGCACATTAGTCTTTCAAGGATGTGAAAAAGCGTTCAAGTGTACGGTTCAATAGTGCATGGACATGGGCCCCCAGGGAATATAACCATTCCGTCTTAGGAAGAAAGACTATCTTTTTTTTTTTTTTTTTTTTTTTTTGCTAAATATGTAACGTTCAAAACATTGTGTTTTCATTCTTCAGGCAAAATAAAAATACATGCAGCTTAAAAATATTTTATATTTGTTTAAAAGATTTAAGGAATTTTTTATTGTATATAAACGACCCAACAAAAACCAACCATAACTGGATTACCTCTGGTAGTGTTAAAATCAAACCGGGGAAAGACTTCAGTTCTTAACCTTATGAAGACTGTTATTTTAGTGAAAATGTCATGTGTTTACAGTTCTTGCTTGAATTTGTGGAACATAACTCCTTATTTTCTTCTAAAGCAATTGAAAAATATATATTTAAAAATATTTGTCACAGTTGGTACAAAGTTCAGACTGTAAATATAAGGGTTTTTCAGAAAACTAATAAATTGCTTTTATATTTCTATTCTTATGCTTCTACTTTTAATGCTTTAAGCATAACGTTTTAAACATATCTCTATGCTAATACTCATCAATTATAATGCAGTTTACAAACTTTTCTCATGTGCTACACAGAATACTATAAGGTCAGAGTATGTAAATTATTCATCTTTTTAACTTAGCACTTATTGGTTCATATATTTTTAAAAATTGAATTAATGTTCTAGAAGCTTTGTATGTTATATTTTAATTGTATTGTTTCAGGTTTTTTTTTTTTTTTTTTTTTTTTTAGACGGAATCTCGCTCTGTCACCCAGGCTGGAGTGCAGTGGCATGATCTCGGCTTACTGCAAGCTCCGCCTCCTGGGTTCTTGCCATTCTCCTGCCTCAGTCTCCCGAGTAGCTGGGACTACAGGCACCCACCACCACGCCCGGCTAATATTTTGTATTCTTAGTAGAGACGGGGTTTCACTGTTAGCCAGGATGGTCTCGATCTCCTGACCTCGTGATCCACCTGCCTCGGCCTCCCAAAGTGTTGGGATTACAGGGGTGAGCCCTCGCACCCAGGCCATTTCTGGTTTTAATTGCATACTTATTTTTAAATGTAGCAAGTCTTCTATTTCCATTAATATGAAACCCTTATGTCTTGATTAGTAAGGCACTCATTGAAACCCAGTGGATATTTGTGTGAATGAGATACTTACGGGACACATGACATTCATATGATAGAGACTGGACAGTGGCCAAATACTATTTTAACAAATGGTTTATTTTGGATTTCAGAGGCTGGAAAGATTTACAAGACCTTTTTGTAAACAAAATTGTTTTGATGTACTGATTTGAGATATTTCTCGAATTCTGTTAAGATTCAGAAGATTTATTTAAAATGGTAATGCTGTGATCACTATGCTAGTTCTTGTAAATTAGTAATCCTTAGTACTGAAAAGAGTGACAATCTGTTACTGAGATAACAATATACAAAAGGAAATTAAATCACTTATATGAGATATAGCTAAATATTGCTGAAGTCACTATATGTGATGCCAAAAGACAATCATGATCAATTTTGGGGCAAATATTTACTTAACGGAATCCATGTGTTCAGGAAAGTGAGGAAAGAGGAAATTAAATCACTCATGATTCCTCATTTTTGAATAGAGTGATTTCAGAAGGCTTCAAAGAGAATTCAGTCTGGTGCTAGGACTTGAACAATGGCTACAATTTAGTTAAGGAAAAGGCCATGATTAAAAGTAATCCAGGAATGGCAATGTAAATGATGAGGCAGTTTGAAGCACTTCACCTAAAAGAACATTTAGTGCACTACTGCTACAATGCAGTACAGTGTAAGACAAAACGAATTAAGTAGTATTTGGCACTTGAAACATGGAAATACTGTGGATGCTTGCAAGAAAATTTGCAGTTCATATTACGGTCTTTGTCTACTTTTTGTAGTTTGTCATTTTTTACATCTGACATTGTGAATATATTTCAAAATTAAAAGACCTTAAATTTTAACATTTCATTAAAATACATGTTGTACTTTTTGAAAGACTAGAACATAAATTAAAAGGGTCTTAACTTTTAAGTAGAAAATGGATGACATTCTACTTTTATAAAGATCCAACGTAGGTCCTACATTTAAGAAAGTACAAATTCTTAATAAGTTTAAATGTGAGAGAAGTTAAATGTGAGATTTGTTTAAAGAGTAAACCCACGCAAATTCATAAACATTTTCTTGATTTGCAAAATTTTTCTCCCATTCTGTAGGTTGCCTGTTCGCTGTGATGGTAGTTTCTTTTGCTGTGCAGAAGCTCTTTAGTTTAATTAGATCCCATTTGTCAATTTTCGCTTTTGTTGCCATTGCTTTTCGTGTTTTAGACATGAAGTCATTGCCCACGCCTATGTCCTCAATGGTATCATTTTTAAATTAATCATCCCTTTAAAATTGTAAGTTTGGTGTATATTTTATAAAGTACAAAATACGTTCATACAGTATCTATATCACATACATTCCTTTATTTATGTGCAATGGTATGCAAAGTCAACAAAATTTGGAGACAAATGATGTCACATTAATAGAAAGAAAGAAGATAAGTGTGTGTCTTCAGTTTATATTAAAATTTGAGACCAATAATTATGTAGGTGATTTTCGATATCTAAATAATTTGAGTCCACAGATCTGTAAAGACTTTGCAGGTGGGGCTGTTTTAGGTTTGCAGCACCAACCAGCAACTGCTCCCATGATTCAGTCTCCCATTTTTAGCTCTTAAAACACTTCAGGAAGGAGTGGAGACCAAATTTCTTCCTCTATCAGACAGCCTCCTAGTAGTCTGACTTTGGGGAAGACCATATGTAAGTTCCAGAGTAGTCTCTTACTCATTTTCTCTCTCTAGTGGTCATTGCTTCCATATACGAAGAATAGCTGCTTCAAGTGTTCTTTTCAAAATTATCCACACCCCAATAGGAGATTATTGATAACCATAATTCTCTCCAGTGAAAGATGCCAGTAGCCATGTCACAGTGTACAGGACAACTGGGGATGGCATTCTTAAATAATCTGTGTATGAGGTAAAGCAGGCCGTGCGGTGAAGAGTCCAGCTGCCTGGGTTGAATTCTTCCTCTGGGTCCCTCTGCACTTGTCTAATCTGTAAAGGCAGATGGCTGCATTAATTTTTGTTAAGGGAGAAAAACAAATTAATACTTTTTGTCACACAGTGAGCACTATATGAATAATTATTATTAAACAACAAATAATGAAATATATGACCATATTTCATGAGTGAGGATCTTAGTCCAGCAACGCTGACTCTAATCAAGACAGTGCCCTGAAATGGAGTTTATCCATCTTCCTGCATCTCCCAGAGAAGCTCTGACTCTAATGCACCTGTTTATCAGTCCCCAACTTCCCTGCTCAGTGCCTGTTTCTGTCAACAGTGTGTTTTAACTTTCCCATTTCTTCTCCGTCTTCTACTCTGCTACAAGAAATACATTTAGAACACATAACAGTGAACGTATTATCTTCTTGCTCACATTTATATATGGCGTCTCCCTTACCGTCCACCATCCGCCCATCATACAGGGCGTTGGCCCGCCTGGTCCTCTCCAGACATCTCTCCCGCAGCGGCCCCTGCTGGACTACACAGGCTCAGCGGCAAGCGCACCCTCATTTTCCTGCATCATCACGTGGCGTGCATTTTCACGCTTCCATATCTTTACTCATGTGTTTCCTCTTGATTAAAATGACATTCGTTCTTTTAATTATGGTTTCCTCAGTTTATTTTTTTTCAAGACAAACCACACATATTTCCTATCCTCCATAAACCCCCATCCCTCAAGAATATTAAATTCCTGTCCCCATGTTGCTCCCTTATCAGATGTCATATTGTGGTTTTTTTATATATGTACTTTCAAAATAAGTACGAGATCGGGCGCGGTGGCTCACACCTGTCATCCCAGCACTTTGGGAGGCCGAGGCGGATCACCTTAGGTCAGGATTTTGAGACCAGCGTGGCCAAAAGGGTGGTGAAACCCCGTCTCTACTAAAAATACAAAAAACTTAGCTGGGTGTGATGACAGGCTCCTGTAATCCCCGCTCCTTAGGAGGTGAGGCAGGATAATCGCTTGAACCCAGGAGGCGGAGATGGTAGTGAGCCAAGATCGCTCCACTGCACTCCAGCCTGGGGCAACAAGAGCGAAACTCCGCCTCAAGAAAAAAGTAAAATAACATAAGGTAAAATAAGTACGAATACTATGAGGTCAGGGACTATTGTCTAATTCATGTCTGATTCTCTGTTAATGCTGCACAGTATTTGCAAAATTAATACATGTGTGGGATTTTAGATGTGTTTCCATGTGCACCAGCTGAATTTTCATGGTAACATGTGTAACATCTCTAACTTCTGGAAACGTATTTTAACCGATCTGTTTTAGCACTTTGTGTGCTGTTTTCTCCAGTAGCTATTTATTGGAATGTGTGTTTGTGAGTGTGTGTGTGTGTGTGTGTGCTTCTGTGATTTATTCTTAAAAAAAAAAAAAAATCCTCCTCATTCTTTATTTTCTGCAACTCTTGTCCTTTCAGAATCCAAAAGCGAGCTCAAAGACTGTATTCTGTTCTCCAGACAACTATCTAATAATTTGTGAACATTTTACATAGTATTTACGTGAATGATAGCTTTGGCCACATAAAAATTAAATGAGAGTATCCTCATAGTTTTGTTTTAGCTCCTCAAACTTTCCCTGGATGATCTTTGGCATCTCTTTGATGTGTACCAAAAGTATATTTCTGGGCTTTCAGGGAAAACCCTTTTCTCATCCTGAAGTTCAAACAGAGCATTATTTGTGATTACCAGCTATTCCATTACACTTCTGGGGGAGAAATGTCCTGGAATATACTGTACTAAAAAATCAGCAAATGTGTTCATTTATGATCACTTGGCTTTGATGTATTATTTCATATTGCCACTCCTCAGAGTGGCTTCGCCCCTCAGAAAGGCTCCATGTCGGCCCCTCTCCAATATCCCATTGTAAGCATGAGTGACTTTGTATAAAAACATAGGAAAATTATGTTCTATATTAGGGAAAGCACAATATGCTTGTGTTAAAAGATTTTTGTCCTCTAGATATATTCACTTAAAATTTTCTCTAGATTAGTCAGCCTGGTTTCATGAGCATGTGTGTGCTAGTGCCATGGATGAAGAAAAAATGCTTTCCTTGCTCATGAAAAAGCTTCTGTTTTTCCTAAAAAGACATCATAACTTTTACAAAATAATTCTAAACTAATATAAGAGTGTATATGATAGATGGCAAAAGAGTATGCATTAGCACACAAGAACAAAAGCAGTTTAGAGAAAGAGATATCTTTGGAGGCTGCAGTATATAAATATATTCCTATCAATATTACAGAGGATAAAGTAGCAGACTCCCAGCAATAGCCATGGAAATGTGTATTCCAAGAGAAAGTCTGGTATTATTTGCCTGGGATAGCGTGCTCCTTAAATTTAAAGATAGATTTCACATATAAGTGATGTAATATGATATTTGTCTTTCTGTGTCTGGCAGTTTTTACTTTGCAAAATGTCCTCCAGCCTTATCTATGTTGTTCCAAGTGACAGAATTTTATTCCTTTTTTATGGCTGAATAGTTCTCCACTGTGTATAAGTACCATATTTTCTTTATCCATTCATGTGTTGATGGGCATTTAAATTGATTTCATATCTTAGCTGTTGAGAATAGTGCTACAATAAACATGGGAGTGCAGATGTCCCTTTGACATACTCATTTCTTTTCCTTTGGATATATACCCAGTAATGGAATTGCTGGATCAGTTTTTAATTTTTAAAGGAATCTTCATACTGTTTTCTGTAAGGGCTATGCTAATTTACATTTCTACTAACAGTGTATAAGAGATTGCTTTTCTCCACATCTTCACCAGCATTTGCCAGTTTTTGTCTTTTTGTTAGTCATCATTCTAACTTGGGTGAGGTGGTGTTACATTGTGGTTTTGAATTGCATTTTCCTGATAGTAAGTGATGTTGGAGTTCAGAGTAGAAGAGTGGTTACCACACACTGGGGCTCATGGAAGGGTCAGAGGTGGGGAGATGTTAGCCTACAGGTACAATATTACAGTTAGATGGGAGGAATGAACTCTGTTACTCTATTGCCCAGTAGGATGATCACAGCTAACAATATTGTATATCACAAATAGCTGGAAGAGAGGGTTTTGAATGTTCTCACAACACATACATCATTAGTGTTTAAAGTGATTTATATGCTAATTATCATGATTTAATAATTACACAATATATACATGCATCAAAACCTCACATTGTTTGCCATTAATACATGCAATTACTATTTGCTAATTTTTTAAATTTGAAATTAATTAACCAATTAACTCTGAGGATAAATATATATCCCCATATATATATTCCACTATGTTAAGAATGACTCAATAACTACTAAAAGAAAATGTCATTTCCAAAGTGGTCATTATTCCTATGGACTTTTTGGTGCAGAGTAAGAGCTAAATATTATACTCTGTCTCAAAGGAATTACCTTTTGTGTCTTTGACAAATGGGAATGTTAAGTGCATTTGCTAGGGACAATATTTATATTAATCCAGATTAATCTATGTATTCTGGATAAGTGACAAGACTCATGGACTTATTTGGTGATTACTTAGGTAATAGCACAAGTTCAGAAATCTTTGCAGTCCGTTTTCACAATTCCCCAAAGTATATAAAGCCAACATATTGGATTAGGCATCAGAAATCTTGGGTCTTAAACTAGGCTCTGTTTTTAATTAACTATGTTAATTTGGGTAGTTTGCTTCACCTTGTTACCCTTATTTCCTTCTAGGTATAAACTGTGTGTGCGTGTGCGTGTGCGTGTCTGTGTGTGTCTTCATGCATGTCTGTGCATGTGTGTATGCATGCATGTCTTTTTTGGTGACTAGGAATGCTGAAATACTGGAGTTTACAGTAGGCTGGGGCAGTGGGAGAGGAAATGGAGAAATAGGAGTGTGATCCTTCTTTCTGAAGTGATGGAAATGTTCTAAAATTGATTACCGTGATGGTTGCACACCATTGATTATATTTAAAAAAATATGAATTGTACATTTTAAAGGGTTGAATTGTATGGAATTTGAATTATATCTCAATAAAGCTATTACCTTTATATTTTTAGATTATAAGTATTACAAAACCTCTCATTATTTTAAAAATATAGTACATGTACCATAATTCTTACTCCCCACTTCTTTGTGTGAATTTTGCGACATCGTTTTCCTTATCCGAGAGTTCGCTTTACTTGAAATCATTCTCCTTTTCCCTTGCACCCATGCTAAGTATTCAATTTCAGGCTCATCAGAGTGTGTTTTCGCCACCTCTTAAATGTTATTCACCATATTTTGCTGTAAATTGGCCACAAAATTACAACCTATAAACTAAGTATAATTTTTCCTCTTTTTTTTTTTTTTTTTTTTTTTTTTTTTTAATCTGAAGACAAAGACAGGAATTTGTTTGCTGCAGGATGGTAACCAGGAGCCTTTCAAAGTCCGGCTGCACCTAGCCAAAGATATTTTGATGATCCAGGAACAGGATGTGATATGTGTGTCTGGTGAGCCTTTCTATTCTGGTGTAAGTAACTTTTTCTTCTGTTGAATTTTTTTGTGTTTGTTTTTTGTTAATAAAAATGTTTATTCAAAGACCATTTTAAATATGTTTTTCTTTCAGTGTCTAGTCAATGGTTCTGCGTGTAATTTTTGCTTACATCATTAAGTAAGCAGTGGCCCTGTATGAGAACCTTGCCTAGGGTCCATGAACATGCCTTTTGGGCCCATCTCCAGCCTGTTGTCTATGACTCCTAGCTGTCATCATATGATGAGAGTGACACTGAATTTTCTGATCATTCTACCTTTTCACATAGAGAATTAATTGAGAACTGCACATGGTGGTGTCCTCTGCTCTGGTCTTACGTTTCTTGAACTTGGACTATTGAGAGTGGTGTCAGGGTGGGGCCCATCCTTCAGCATCACTGAAGCAGGAGACATTAGGCAGCGGTCACTGAACTCAGCGTGAGTGATATTCCCCTGGGATAGTGTCTGAACGATTCTGTGGACCTCCCTAATAGAATTATGCGGAAGTGCTGTAGCAAATTCTGTTCTTCAATGCTCCAACCCATTGACACATTACACTGCTCCTAATCTAGCTTCAGAAAGAGCCATAAATTACAGTGCAAAACTGATTGCTGTACTTACTCATGTCGAGGCAGCATAGCTGTGGAAGACATCCTTAGATGAGATTAGATTTTATTCCACTAAAAGACATTGTCATAAAACAAGTTATGGAGTTCATCATTCATTGTATAATAATACCATTAAAGACATCTTTTTTAACAATGTTGCCATATGTGATCTCAGAAGAAAATTATAGACAGTAGCATGTAGTCTGCTCCCTGCTTTTCCCAAACATCTGCAGCTATTTAGCATGAAGATTTAATTTGTACCTTATTAATAGACTTACCTTGGAGTGTTTAGTAGGTGGCAAATAATGCTGAACTTGAGTTCTCACATCACTTCTTACTAATACCCTATGGGAGTAACTCAAGGCCCTAAATCAATAGGCCTTTGCCAACTAAAGATAATAGACATTTTACAGACTGTTAACTATTCTTTTGTCACAGACCATTTAAATCATTCTGAATCATGGGCCTGGATGTCAAGGCTGATTAAACTGTTCCTATGAGGTTGTCCTTTCTTCCCTTTGGTTAATAACAGAGAAGTGGCATGAGTCATACAACTCTCTAGAATAAATATATCACACTGGTCCCCAGATCAAAAAATAAAATCAGTAAAATTTACTACTTCAATACTGAAATAATATTACTGATTTTAAGTTTCACAGTCAATAATAACTGATACACATAGACCTACTTTCTCCTTAAAAGATAATTGTACATATAAATAAAGCTCAGAGTGCTAGGAAGAATGAAGGCAGAATTAAGGAGAAACATCTTATGACGTTGTCAACAAATTCAAAAAAGCATTTGAAAATTCAACACCCATTTTTACAAAACACTTTAAGCAAGATATGAGTAGACAAGATTTTTCTTAATCTGACAACTGTCATCTAATTAAAGCCTCTTTCTAATATGTTGGTTAACATTGAACATTCTCTCTGAGATTGAAAGCAAGTCAAGGATAATACCTTGCTCACTAATCAATGTTGTTCACCATGCTCCTACAGCAAGTCACAAATTATATATAAAGAACAAAAATTATAGAGGAAGAGGCAAAATGGCTTTTCTTGTAGATTTCATGATGGTATGCATAGAAAACCTTAAGAATTCTACAAAAGATAGAATAACACAAGAATTTAGCAAGGATGCTGGGAATAAGGACAATAGCCCAAGTTAATTGTGTTTCTAAAACTACCTACAAGCAACTAGAAATGAAATAAAAATGCAATCCACAATACGTCAGAAAGACAATACACTTAGGAACAAATTTAACAAAAGATGTATATGATCTCTGTCCTGAAAACTATAAAAACTATGTTGAAGGAAATTTTAAAAAATAAACAAATAATGGAGAAATATGACATGATCGTAACTAGAAAGCTAAGTGTTGATAAGCTGTCACATCTTTCCAGATACCCTAAACCAGTCAAAACCCCAAAATATTTTTGCAGATATGTACAAGTTGATTCTAAAATTCACATGGAAATATAAAGGACTTACAATAACCAGAACAATCTTGAATAAAAAGAGCAAAGTTGGAGGGTTTATTCTAACTGATTTCAGAGCTTGCTATAAGATTCTAATAATAAATACAATGTAATGTTGTAATAAATTCAAGTATATCAGTCAATGGAACATAATAAAGAGCCCAAAATAGACCCACTCTTATATGGTCTGTTAAGTTTTCTGTTTCTTTTTTTTTTAACTGTGATAAAATATACATAATATAAAATGCACCATCTTAACTATTTTTAAGTATAAAGTTCAGTAGCATTTCGTGCATTCACTTTGTTGTGTAACTACCACCACTATTCATTGCCGGAATTTTCATCATGCTATACTGAAACTCTGTATGCACTGAACCGTACTCCTCCTCTTAACCCCTTGTTAACCACTGTCCTACTTTCTGCCTCTACATTTGACTATTCTGGGTAAATCTTGTAAGTGGAATCATACAATATCTGACCCTTTGTGGATGGCTTATTTCAATTATCATAATGTCTTCAAGGTTCATCCATGTTGAAGGATATATCAGAATTTCATTCCTTTCAAAGGCTGAATAACATTCCATTGTGTATTTATACCACCTTTTGTTTATCAATGTTCACTCGGCAGTGAACATTGAGTTTGTTTCCACCTTGGCTTTTTGGAAAAATGCCTCTAAGAACATGGGTGTACAAATATGCTTGAATCACCACTTTCAATTATTTGGTGTATATATCCAGAAGCGAAATGGCTGGATAAATAGTAATTCTTTGTTCAACTTCTTAAGAAACTGTCATACTCTTCTCCACAGTAGTTGTACCATTTTCCATTTCAACAAGCAAAATACAAGAGTTCCGATTTCTCCACATCCATGTCAACCCTGTTGTTTTCAGTGTTTTTGATAATAGCTATCCAAATAAGTGTGAGGCTGAATCTCACTGTGGTTTCCATTTGCATTCTCCTATCAATTAATAATGTAGAACATTATTTTATGTGCTTATTGTCTACTTGTGCGTCTTCTTTGGATAAATGTCTATTCATATCCTTTGTCTGTTTTGGAATTGGATTGTTTGGTTTTTGGAGCTGAGTTGCAGGAGTTCTTAATGTATTTTAGATACTAGTCCTTTATCAGGTATGTGATTAGCAATATTTTCTCCCAAATTGTAGGTTGCCCTTTTACTCTATTAATAGTATTTTGATGCACAAAAGTTTTTAATTTTAATAAAGTGTGTGTCAATTTTTTCTTCTATTGGTTGTACCTTTTGTACCATCTCCAGGAAATAATTGCCTAATTCAGTGTCATGAATCTTTTCCCCCTATATTTTCTTCTAAGAGTTTACAATTTTTGCTCTTACTTGTAGGTTTGGTTATATTTTAAGTTAATTTCTGTTCTGTACATGGCATTAGTTAAAGTTCGAACTTCATTCTTTAGCGTTTGGATATCCAGTCCAAAATAAATTGCCATATACACAAGGGGGTTTTTATGGCCTCTCTATTCTAGTTTATTAATCTATATATTTGTCTTTACGCCCATAACACACAGTTGTGCCTTTTGTTTATTTGTTCGTTTTTACTGTAGCTTTAGAGCAAATTTTGAAATCAGCTAATTTGGGTTCCTTAAGATCTCAAATACATTTTAGAATGAATTTTTCTATTTCTTGAAAAAATACCATTGCAGTTTTTATAAGGATCATGTTGAATCTGTAGATCACTTTTAGTAGTATGGACATCTTAATAATAGTAAGCTTTCTGATAGATGAACATAGCATCTTTCCATTTATTTATGTATACTTTACATTCTTTTAGCAATGCTTTGTTGTTTTCAGTGTACAAGTCTTTCAACTCCTTGCTTGAGTTAAACCCTTAGTATTTGATAATTTTTGATAGTATTGTTAAAAAATCATTTTCTTAATTTATTTTTGGATTTTGATTTTGTATTCTGCCACTTTACTGAATTTATTAGTTCTAATAGTTTATTGTGGAATGTTTATGGTTTTCTACGTATAAGATTATGTCATCTGTGATCAGAGATAATTTTACTTATTCCTTTCAAATTTGGATGACTATTATTTCTTTTTCCTGCCTTATTACTCTGGTTAAGATTTCCAATACTATGCTGAATGGAAGTGGTAAAAGCAGATTTTTTTTTCTTATTCCAGACCTTAAAGGAAAAGCTTCATTTTTGAGTATTTTTGAGTACGGGTTTTTCATATACTGCCTTTGTTATGATGAGGTAGTTGTCTTCTATTCCTACTTGGCTGAGTATTGAGGCAGTGTTGAATTTTATATCAAAAGGCCTTGAAATTTGTCAAATGCTTTTTTCTGAATCAATTGAGATGATCAAGTGTGCTTTTAAATTTTTTTTTCTTCTGCTCTATAAATTGTTTTTCTTACTTGAAAGTACTTCCTGGGACCTCTGTCCCAGGAAGGAATTCTAACTTCTAGGTCTGCATCTGAGGAAAGCCAATCTACAACAGAGAAAGTAGTGCACCGTACTTTCAGAGAGCCAGATTTTCTCTGAGAAAACTCCCTTTTTCTGTTTTTTAAAGCCTCCCGCTGGTAAAGGCCCGCAGACACCTTTGTATTAAAAGATACCCTCTTTAAACTTGACCCTTCACAGTGCACTGTTTGTGTTGTATTGCCACAATACATAGTCCATGTGCTCTCTGGACAGGGATCACCCCACTTACCAGCTAATTACGAGATGCATTTGAGACAGTAAGAGATGAGGCCAGAGATAATCATCCAACTTTGGAGAGCAGAAAGTCTTATCTGAGTATTACAACAAATAGAGTGTTAACTCTCAGTCTGTGTAAGTGAGTGGAAAGGTTAGGAGAATATTCTAAGGAAAGGCAAATGTCAGTCTGAGGAACCCTAGGCAAGGAGCTATTTTGTTATCTGGAAGCAATGCTCT